TCCTCTTCCTCAGGATCGGATTCACTAAGCGTCCTATCTGTTACTGACGTCCCCGTAGACAATCCCATGTCTTGCGAACTGAAAAATATATAATCAAGTACAAAGTCAATATCTTTAATTGTCGTCGACGAGACGTCGTTTTTATATAGTCTATAGTTTACCGAAATTTGCTCTAACGCAAAAAACAAACAAACAAAAAAAAAAACAACAACAACATAAAACGGAAGGGGTCGGAATGCTCGTTGGTAAATCCTTTGTACGTACTAAATTACTGATAATCCTCGGTAGAACCTAACTTGAATGTATTGCTTTTCCTTGGCAAGGGTACAGCAAAACATGACTCATCTTTGTAGTTACTTACCCAGAAGAAGATAACGTCATCGAGCTTTTGGTCGAGTTCCTCGACTGTTGTAGTGATGACGAGGCTCTCACTGCGGTTGCTGTAGCCTTCATAGTTGGTGGTTTAGAACGGGTTGTGGGAGAAACACCACCTTGACGTGGGACTAAAGGCAAAGATATTTGGCCTTAGCTTCTACGCACGCCTTGAACTGATATTAGACTAAAACTACAGTTGAGGATCGATAATACGGACACACAGGAAAATAAAACTGGCCGATTTAAGTGTTATAGTAAATGCGTATCACCGTGATAAAAGAAGTTTCCATAATAACAAGGTTTTCGAATTAAGGAGTTGTACGTAAAAGAGGGTTCTCATGATGCTGTGCAAGTGCGTCGTACTGCTAACTAAGCCCTGGCGACATCAACCCAAAATGTCACAAGTCCATAAGTCGCCTTCCTAATACGAAATGGACACTTCAAGTTAAGGACTTCCGAAATTGTGAAAATGGCCGTACCCAGTTCTCTCTCTTTCACTTTTCTACTATTCCGAACTTCCCGCCATTTCCTTTTTCCGTACCCACCGCGTCTATTGACTGCAAGCCGCCTTCATGCAAAGCATCATGGGATATCTTGGGGTAAAGTAAATAACGCCTTGTCAAATAAATCATACATAATTGTTGAGAGGTAACAGCTATAGCGTACCCGCCGCGTCTATTGATGGCAAGCCGCCTTCGTGCAAAGCATCATGGAATATATTGGGGTAGAGTAAATTATGCCTTGTCAAATATATCATACTTAATTGTTGTGGGGTACCAGCTTTGGCACCGTTCGATTTATAATTTCTCTTCGCAATCTCTTCAGCATCTTTGCTCAAGCTTTAAAGATCAAGGGATATCATTAGGTGTAAGATCAATAATCAGTAAAGATTCTCAAATATATATGTAATATGCATTAGGAGTACCATTAAATAATACGGTCACGGTAAGTATTGACGATATTTCTTGAACCAATTGCAGGGTGTGAGATCTTTGCGCATCCAATCAGAATGCTTAAACACAGCACGGTCACAAATTACAGTGTGTGAGATCTCTGATCATACAATCACTTTGCTCATCCAATCAGAATGCTTAAACACAGCACGGCCACCAATTACAGTGTGTGAGATCTCTGCTCATACAATCACTTTGCTCATCCAATCAGAATGCTTAAACACAGCACGGTCACAAATTACTGTGTGAGATCTCTGTTCATACAATCACTTTGCTCATACAATCAGAATGCTTAAACACAGCACGGTCACAAATTACTGTGTGTGAGATCTCTGCTCATACAATCACTTTGCTCATGCAATCAGAATGCTTAAACACAGCACGGTCACAAATTACTGTGTGTGAGATCTCTGTTCATACAATCACTTTGCTCATCCAATCAGAATGCTTAAACACAGCACGGTCACCAATTACAGTGTATAAGATCTTTGCTCATCCAATTACAATGCTTAAAAATAGCACGGTCACGGTACAGCACGTGAGTACCATACGTTTTTTTTACAGTCGTTTCTCTATCTTACCTGTTTCTCAACTGATCGAAGTTTCGCATTTTCTGTTGAACGGAAATAGGTATTTTTAAGAGGAAGAAAGAAAGAAAGAAGGAAGACGGATCTGGTGAACCTGACATTTTTCTCTTCTGTCTTACCTTTGCACGAGCCTGTCTTTCTGTTGCTAGGGCAGCCATATGTGCGTTCATTCTTTCTGAAGAAAGCCGACCAATGCTCTGAATAAGAAAACAATAATAAATGAGATTCACTGTTGTCGATATAGGTGGTGATGACAGTTGTTATGGATGGAATGAAATGGTGTTTAAGATATGATGGTGATGCCGGTGAAACATGTTTGAAAACACGTCGATGATGGTATCGATGATGATGATGCTGATGATGAATATGGTGAGCTGTAATGATGATATGATGATGATGATGGTTATTTATGATGAAGGTGGTGATGAAGATGATGATGATGATGATGAATATGGTGAGCTGTGATGATGATATGGTGATGATGATGGTAATTTACAAAAAGAGTGTGGTGATGAAGATGATGATGCTTCTGATGATGATTACTTTATATTTTTTTATCATGGTATGATGTTAAGTGATGATGAGTTTCTTACTGTTTGTAAGCTTTGTTTTGCCAGTTTTTGTTCCACCATTTGCTCGATCTCTTGTCTGCATGCCATGACTTCATCATGAGTATGTCGGTAGTGAGCTGCAACCAAATTCCGCATTTATTATATCTTCAGTTCTAATGCCTCAAATAATAAAAACCAAACAATAACTAGACGTCAAGTTACTTACTTGTAATATCTGGGTTGTGGGGGAAGGGATGGAATTCTCCACGCTGTAACGTCCCTGTACCCTGACAAAAACAATTACATGCAAAACTATTATTTACGTCCAACATTACAATGATTTAGAGAATGATATTACTTGAAGGTCGTGGCATTAGAAATATTGTGATACATACCCATTCTGATGATGACATGCCCCTGTGAGAATAAAGAGATATGAGATTTAGTAGTTTAGATTAGCAATGTGAATCAACTAACAAAGAGTAAAATGCAAGCAATTATCAAAAATCACACTTCATCGATGATGATGACAATGACAATGAGAATGGTGATGATGTTGGTGGTGATGATGGTGATGATGGAGACGATGAAGGTGGTGGTGGTGCCCGTGGTGGTGGTGGTGATGATGATGATTTAGATGATGGTGGTGGTGATGATGATGGAGATACTGAAGGTGCTGATGTTGATGATGATGATGTAGATGATGGTG